AAAGTCTGGGGCAACTCAAATGGCTAGAGATTCGTGATTGTAAGATGATGAAAGAGATAATAGTGACAGAAGGAATAGCAGAAGAAGAAATGATGTTGTTTCCTAGCCTTAAAACACTAAGGCTTGAAGGCCTTCCCAAGCTCACAAGATTCTGCCATCGAAATTGCTCACTGTTCCCCTCCCTAACAAAGCTTGCCCTAGTCAAGTGCCCTTTGTTGGAGACGTTCATCTCTAGTCCTACCATTGGAGACACAAGTCACGTGACAACAAGTAAAAAAAGAGAAAATGCTTACAAATCACCTCTATTTGATGCGAAGGTGATTCTTTTGCTTGTTTTGATTCCCTTTTATTTTCCGTTTTTCATGTCTAGAGTACTTACTTGCATTTTTCCTTCAACTTTGTTAATTGATTTTGATCCCGCATTAATTTTGATTAATCGAAAATTTATACAGGTTGCATTTCCCTGCTTGGAAGAATTGACAATCATTGGATTGGAGAACTTGAGGATCATATGGCACCACCAACCTCCTGCAGCTTCATTTCCCAAACTAAAATCGTTGGCTATTGGACATTGTGGGGAATTATTAACAGTTGGTTCATCTGATATACTAGGAAAATTATGCAAATCACTAGAGGTGTTGAAAGTAATTGCTTGTCGCAGTGTAGAAATGATATTTGATCTTGGAGAAGTATACATCGAAAAGTCACACGGTGCGCAGGACACCATGTGGAACAAAGATTCCCGAGATATTCTCAGTTTTCAAAACTTGCAGTCCGTGAGAGCTGTAGGTCATCCGAACCTCCAAAATATGTTTCCAGCTCCAGTGGCTATGGGGTTTCAGCAACTTGAAGAGTTCGGCTCAGTCAATCGCGGGATAGAGACAGAGAGAGTCGTAGCATTCGAAGGAGAAGAAGCAGCTCGTAGATTTGTGTTCTCTTGTTTGTCTACTCTTTACCTGTGGGATCTACCAAGACTCAAATGTTTCTACCCAGGGAAACATGTGACAGAGTGGCCTGTGTTAAAAAAATTTCGAGGGTATCATTTTGAAGGAATTAAAGAAAAAAATGTGGAGAGCCTTGACGCATTTCCGGTTCAACTTCCGCTTTTCACCCTGGAGGAGGTATGTGTCTGTCTTTGATTATTATTAAGCTCACGTGACATGTTAATTATAGGCAAATTTTATAACCCCTCTACCTCACTCTAGGTTGACAATCTCCCCCCTCAACTTCTTTTCACTGGCAAATAAAACCCTTTAGTTTTTTTTTTTCTTGCCGAAAACAAACTTAGTACTAACATTAAAACATTACCAAAGCCCTACAAAGATTCACAAGGCCAAAAAAGACAGGGAGACAGTAATAACAATAGAAGAAAAACAAACTAAAACGAAGTTACCAAATGATAAAACACTCCAGCAAATGCAAAACAAAGGCAAGAGATGGATCCAAGGAATCATAGCTACAGAGGAAGGATAACCCTTCCTGCAACCTGCCTAAAACAGATACCTCATGCCATGGAACACCGACAAGAAGACACATAGAGGTTTGATGGAGATCCTTTAAAAAAAAATACCCCCTGGCAGTGCTTGGAAAAGCAGATCCATCAAGAGAGGAAAGCCAGCAACTTCTCGTGAAAGAAATTCTCCAACAGCCAACTTCCCTTTCAATGACCTACTCCATACTACCCACCCCTTAATTACATCAGTACCTCTCCTTATATCATCCCCTTCTCTTAACAAAGCAACAATAGAAATAAAACTAGTGACATAACATAAATAGGAAACATAAATAAAGCCAACATCACTCTTCATAATTCCCAAAGCACCAAAACCCTTAGTTAAACACCCAACATCTTGGTAAAAGCCATTCTCTAAGCAAGCAGACATTCTCTAAGCCATTCTCTAAGCTATTCTACAAGCAGAATTGGGAACGCCATCAATCTTCCTAAAAATCCAATTATGCTCAGAACCATCTCCAAACTGATGAACCAATTTAATCCCCAAAACAGATTCTGATGATACCGAATTTAGGAAAAATATAGCACAAATCCAGCCTCCCAATCAAAACCACAACACAACAAAGAAGAACACAAACACTCTCAATTCCCCAACACATCGGAGCACAAATGTATAACAGTATAGCTAACCTAAAATCAACTAAATAACTCCAAAAAAAGACTGATTGAATCTTTAAACCTACAATTAAGATTTCACAACTTTGGACCCTGAATTGAATATCCAATGCTAAGAAGGAGCTTCCGAATTGAGTAAAAGCAATTTCATCTGGGAGAGAAGTTACCTGCAAAGCCATCACGTGATTTAGAAACCCATCCTCCAACTCAAGAACTCCAATTAAAATCAAATTGATGAAAACTTAGGGTCCTCGGTGTGCCCTTGTGAGCAATCTCCTCTAGATCCAAACAGATGCGATGTGGGAATTCTAGAGCAAGAGGACAATAGCAACTGGCTTCGATAAAAGATGCACGGCGAAGATTTTGCTAGAGGGTTTGGTAGCAAAAGCGGTTGAAGTGGATTTGAAGCTTTTTGGGGTTTTTTTTATCACAGTTTTCTAAACATCAAAAGTAGAAAGGAGAC